GATGAGAGCCATTCTGACAGGTATGAGGTGATATCTCACTGTAGGTTTAATTTGCATTTTTCTGATGATTAGTGACATTGAACATCTTTTTTTGTCTGGGCTCACTATTTTATTTTATTATTTAAAAAATTTAAATGAATTTTAAAGTATATTTTATTGATCATGCTATTAGTTTTCCCAATTTCTCCCCCTTTTTCCCAACTCCACCGTGCACCTCCCCACCCTCCAGCATTCCTCACCCCTTATTTGATGTCCATGGGTTGTACATATAAGCTCTTTGAATTCTCTGTTTCCTATACCATTGTGACCTCTCTCCACTTATTTTATGCCTACCAATTATGCTTCTTCTTCCCTGTACCTTTTCCCCTCTATGCCCCCTTCCCTCCTCCCCACTGAAAACCCTCCATGTGATGTTCATTTCTCTGATTCTGTTCCTGTTCTGGTTGTTTGCTTAGTTTTTGTTTTCATTGTTTGTCTTTTCTTTTAGGTTCATTTGTTGATAGTTGTGAGTTTGTTGTCATTTTACTGTTCATAGTTTTGATTTTTTTTCCTAGATAAATCCCTTGAACATTTCATATAATAAGAGCTTGGTGATGATGAACTCCTTTAACTTGACCTTATCTGGGAAGCACTTTATTTGCCCTTCCATTGTAAATGAAAGCTTTGCTGGATAGAGTAATCTTGGATGTAGGTCCTTGCCTTTCATGACTGTGAATGTTACAGTACAAAAGGGGGGGCCAAAGGCAGTACAGTACAAAAGGGGGGGCCAAAGGCAGCCAAGGCAATATACTGTTACCCGAAAGGAACCCCCCAGGTTCGTTATGTCCACTGTCAGAGGAAAGACATCTGTCAATGCCCGAGATTCATGAAAAGGAAAGGAATTTATTATTCATTTGAAATAACACAAAGTAAAGTTCCCCACAAATGCACACAGTCCTCCCAGCACCCTCCATGTGGCAAAAGGGAGCACTTCCAAAGCCTCATGATCCTCTCACCCAAGACTCATGGTTCCAACCAAGACACCAAAGCCATGTAGTCCTAAAGAGAGGCGTGGTCCCCAAAAGAGAGATGCCCAATGGCTGCTGTGCCTCCGTTTAAATCCCAGCGCCAATCTTCCTCTGCAGCCCCATTTCCAGCTCCTCTCACAATTGGCCACAGCTGCCAGCATTCTGGGCAGGTGTGGCCCTGTGGTATGGAGCCAATTATCTCCAAGCTCTTCTGGACCCTATTATGAATCCCTATTTGGGGCTCCTTCTTGGCTGCACCCTGTTACATGAATACTTCTTTCCAGCTCCTTCTTACCTGCAAGGTTTGTTTTGAGAAATCAGCTGATAGTTTTATGGGAACTCCTTTGTAGATATTATGGCCTTTCCTCTTGCTGCTATTAAGATTTTCTTTTTATTTTTAATCTTGGGTAACTTAATGATGATGTGCCTTGGTGTGTGTGTTCCTCTTTACGTCCAACTTCTTTGGGACTCTCTGGGCTTCCTGGACTTTCTGGAAATCTATTTCCTTTGCCAGATTGGGGAAGTGTTTCTTCATTATTTGTTAGAATAAGTTTTCAGTTTCTTGCTCTTGTTCTTCTCCTTCTGGCACCTCTATAATTCAGATATTGGAATGTTTTAGGTTGCCTCAGAGGTTCCTAAGTCTCTCTTCACTTTTTTGAATTCTTGTTTCTTAATTCTGTTCCACTTGATGTTTATTTCTTTCTTTTGTTCCAAATCTTTGCTTTGAGTCCTGGTTTCTTTCCTGTCACTGTCAGTTCCCTGAATATTTTGCTGTATTTCATTTTGGGTATCTTTCATTTGTTTTTCATTTTTTTGACCAAGCTCAATCAGTTCTGTGAGCATTTTGATTACCAGGGCTTTAAATTCTCCATCAGATAGGTTGGCTATCTCCTCATCACTTAGCTCTCTTTCTGAAGTTTTGCTCTCTTCTTTCATTTGGGCTATATTTCTTTGTCTTGGCACACCAGTCTGGTTGTTCTGTTCAACTGTTTCTTTAATTCCTTGGTTGTCAGAGCTCCAAGCAATTTGATTTTCTGGCACCTCTGGTTGTTTATTGATTTTAGATTGGTTGTTATCCCTGTTTTGGTTGTGTGAGGAAGTGAAGGGTTTCTAGCTATGCCTCCATTTTGGCTGGAACTCCTCTAAACATCTTTTTATACATCTATTGGCTATCTGCATGTCTTCTATGAGGAAGTGTCTATTCAAGCCTTTTGCCCATTTTTAAATTGGATTATTTTATTATTATTATTATATTTTTGGCATTGAGTTTTATACATTCTTTATAAATTTTGGATATTAACCACTTATCAGATGTATTGGCAAATATGTTCTCCCATTGCATGGGTTGTCTTTTTAATTTGTTGATTGTTTCTTTGCTGTGCAAAAACTTTTTAATTTGATGTAGTCTTATTTGCTTATTTTTTGTTTTCCTTGTCTGAGGAGTTGTATCTGAAAAAATATTGCCATGAACACTGTTTGAGATTTTACTGCCTATATTTTCTTCTAGGATTTTTATGGTTTTGGGTCACACATTTAAGTTTTTAATGCATTTTGAAGTTATTCTGGTGTGTGGTGTAAGAAGGTGGTCTAGTTTCATTTTTCTGCACATATCTGTCCAATTTTCCCAACACCATTTATCGAATAAACTAATCTATGTCAAGTATTAATTGATTATAAAGGTGTGGTTTTATTTCTGGGCTCTCTATTATGTTCCATTGATCTATGTGTCTGTTTTTATGCCAGTACCATACTGTTTATTAAAATGGCCCTTTAAAAAATATATTATTGACTATGCTATTACAGTTGTCCCATTTTTTCTCCCCTTTATCCCTCTCCACCCTGCACCATGCCTCCCTCTAGTGTCCCCCACCACCCCTCTTAGTTCATGGCCATGGATTGTGCATGTAAGTTCTTTGTACTCTCCATTGCCTATACTGTTCTTAACATCCCTCTGTTTATTTTGTGCCTACCAATTATGCTTTTTATTCCCTGTACCTTTTCCCCATTCTCTCCCTCCCCCTCCCAGCTGTTAACCTTCCAAATGATCTCCCTGTCTATGATTCTATTCTCGTTCTAGTTGTTTGCTTAGTTTTTTTTTTTTTTATGGTCAGTTGTTGATAGTTGTGAGTTTGTTGTCAATTTAATATTCATAGTTTTGGTCTTTTTCCTAAATAAGTCCCTTTAACATTTCATATATTAAGGGCTTGGTGATGATGAACTCCTTTAACTTGACCTTATCTGGGAAGCACTTTATCTGCCTTCCCATTTTAAATGTTAACTTTGCTAGATAGAGTAATTTTAGATGTAGGTCCTTGCCTTTCATGACTTTGAATACTTCTTTCCAGTCCTTCTTGCCAGTAAGGTTTCTTTTGACAAATCAGCTGATAATCTTATGGGAACTCCTTTGTAGGTAACTGTCTCCTTTTCTCTTGCTGCTTTTAAGATTCTCTCCTAATAGTGTATTTTGCTATTAGGTAGCATGATTCTTCCAACTTTGTTCTTTTTTCTCACAATCCTTGTTGCTATGCAGGGCCTTTTGTGGTTCCACATAAATTTTTAAAATATTTTTTTCTTGTTCTGTGAAATACGTCATTGGAATCATGATGTAAATTGCATTGAATCTACAGATTGCTTTAGGCAGCATGGACATTTCTCAGGTAGCGTCAGGTAGTATATTGTATTAGTTAGGGTTAGATATGGCTGTGAGAAAGTAAACCCTTATTCCCCCCCCCTCAAAAATCCAGATGTTGACTTCCAGGGCTGGTTTGGGGGCTGTCATAGGGTGCTGCTGCCTGTTCTTATTGTACCCCTACCAAGCTGGTGTCTTGTGGCTGACCCTACCAGGCATCCTCCCTCCTGGGTGAATAATTTTATACTTTCTTGTGGAATATTGCTACACATTTTATACAATTTGACAGAAATTAATATCTCATTAGTAAACAATATTTCCTTATAGGGTAGGGAAGAAAGGAAGCAAAAATGCCTAATAATTTCCCTTTGAGCACATACATTGAGAGAGAAAGAGGAAAGAGTACTATCTATGGTCTTTGTAAAAATAAAAACAAAGAAAAAAATGACCAAAGTTTGGCTATAAGAAACACATTAGTGCTAATCTCAGCATAGAACAATGGTGTGAGTTCAGAAATATTTATTGAATAAATGAGTGAGTCAAATATCCTGTTTCAAACATCTATATAATAGGAAAATGTTACATTTTTGATGTAGGCAAACTGAAGGCTATGCAGATTTTGGGACATTTAAGTTTAACTTTTAATGTCAGAAAAATAATGGAGAAAATAAATTAAAAATTCATGGGATACAAAAGTGGAGATCAAGTCTCAACAGTCTTGGGCGGTGGGACCCAGGAGAAAAATATTTAAGGAAAATGAAGTTACTTTACACAGTAGCCAATCCCTAAAATTACCTGTTGTTATTGTTGCTTAAAAAAAAACTCAGATGATCGTTTTAATCAAATTGCCAAGTTGATCAACTTGTGTTTGACTAAAGTATTTTCTTCTAAAGTCTCTTAGGACTTTTCTTTGTATTGTTGGGAACAAGGAAATTAAGAACTAAATTTAACCTTAATAGACAAGAACCACATTGTAGCTAAAAAGAAATGATAAAAGAGACAAAGTACAGTTAAAGCAAACATCCTGTGTCTAGCAGACGCTCTCCCCTGGGTAGGCTAGATAAGCAGTGCTTTGTAGTTTTTAATGAGAAAATAGAAAACTAGCTAGCTAGAGCCAAGAGATTACTAGGTTAATGAACAAACATCCTGCCTTCTCGCCTTATGAAAGAATGCTTGGTTTGAAATTCCCGCGTGTGGTCTTTGTAAGTGAATTACTAACTGCCACGTCTGCTTCTGTATAACGCTTGCTTGCCCGCCCATATATAAGAACGTAGTTGTAAGCACTCGGCGCAGCTCTCGTTTGCAGCTCCTTGTGGGCACTGTGTCACTGGACACTTTGAGAGTTCGCCCCTGCGCAGGTTAAACTTGGCCAATAAAGTAACATCTTTGATACCCTGAAAGTCTCTGATATTTGTTCTCGCGTTTGCTGGATGCTACATTTTGGAGGCCCCAGCGAGATCACAGGTCGGAGACTGAAGGGACGGTTTGAGCCGGGTGAGTAGTGAGGATCCTCTTTCTGTTTTCGGTTTCGACTCCGGAGTAAGGAAACTACCGTGTGGTGGTAGGCGGGATGCCGCCTGGGAGTTTTTCAGTTACTGGGAAAGAAAGTTCAGTGACCGGTCACATTAAAGAGGGAACTTTTGCGCCACGCCGCACTGAGATTGAAATATTTGAGTGTGTGAGTGAACGAGCTTGTGAGTGACTGTGTTTGTAGCCCCACGGGGAAACCTACAGGGCATGAGAGGGCCCTAACCTGTGGTTCTGTTACGGGGTGCAGCCAAGAGGGGGGGGACCCCAAATAGGCATTTGAAATGGGGTCCAGAACTCAAGGTGTCCAGGAGATTTTAAGATGTCTCCACCCCCCTCCCCCACGGTGTGGGTTGGGGGAAGGGACAAATGGAGCAGGGCCATTGAGATCTGTTTTGCATAGCAACAGCCTTGCAGCTACCCTCTGGCGTGGTCATTTAACATATCTATAGCCTTTGGCTGGTCGCTTAGATATGTTAAATAGCTGTGATCATCTCTGAGCCAGGGGAATGGAAGTAACTTCCTCACCAAGACGTGACTGGGGTAGATCCCCCAAGCTACAGCACCTGCGTGGGAGCTCAGAGAAGATTGGCTCCAGGACATGGGGCCACACCTGCCCAGACTCATGATGGCAGCCCAGTAAAGCTGGAAGGATACGAGTTCTGGCATGTGAAGCCGAGTGTGGGAGGAGTCGGAAATGAGGCTGCAGAGGAAGACTGGCCGCAGGGTTTTAAAACCCAGACTTGGCGGCCATTGGAGAGAGAGAACCATGAGGCTTTAGCAGAATGGGGAGGACCTCAGCCATTGAGAGAGAACCATGTGGCTGTGGAGGTGCAGAGAGGATCACGGCCATTGAAAAGAGAACCATGTGTAGCCCTGAGAAGGAGAGCCATGCACAGCCTGAGAAGGAGAACCATGCGGCCATTTGAAGAGAGAACCACGCGGCTTTAGCAGAGTGGAGACTCCCGCATCCCAGAGAGGGAGAACCACGTGGCCTTGACAGAGTGGAGACTCCCGTGGCCCTGGGAGAGAGGACCACGTGCCTGTGCCAGAGTGGGGACCCCCACAGCTTTAGAAGGGGGGAACCACCACCTGGTTTTAGCAGAGATCCTGGCGACTCAGCCGAGGGTGCCGGGGAACCCAGGGAGGTCTCCCAGTCGAGATGGAGGACTAACTAAGAACCAGAGGACTGCCTGAGCCATGGACTTCTATTTCCTTTCCTGAGATACGGTACTCTGGACTGGGCAAAGGGGGAAGGAAGGAAGGACTGTGACTGTGTTTGTGGGTGTTTTAAGGGACTTTGGGATTTTTGATAAAGACATTAGGTCACTACTTTAAGTTAGTATAGCATTAAATAAACATTTCCTTTCCTTTTCACGAATCTCTGGCATTGAGAGACATCTTTCCTAGGGCGGCGGACATAACGGACCCGGGGCCTTCTTTCAATAATAGTATATTGTCTCAGGCCCCCCTTGTTGTGTTCTGTAACAGTTCCTGTGTTGGGTCATACGGCATAACGGCTGGCAGTCTAACCCGGACTCTGATCGGGCAGCCTTAGCCAAGATCGACATCACCTCGTGGGAGGGCAGGCCAGGCGGGCGAGCGACTGTGTTCTGTGTCTTGTTTTGTCTGCGTGTTGTGTCACAAGTTGACTTCTGAATTACATGCCTAATTCGTGTGTGAGGGATATTGCCTTGTCTGTCGCCTTGTTGTTTTGTATTATTTGTCTCTTCTCCTATCTCCTGGACCTCATCAGAATGGGCCAACAGGAGTCGGTGCCGGGATCCCCACTTGATTGTCTGTTAAGGAGTTTTTCCGATTTCCAGCAGCGAGCACGAGGGTATGGAGGACCCCCACCAGATCCGGAATTTTTAAGAACCTTAAGCCAGCTCGAGTGGCCCACTTTTGATGTTGGATGGCCCTCGGAGGGGACCTTTGACTTGCCCACCCTTTTTGCTGTTCGAGCCACAGTATACAGGGTTCCCCATCCAGATCAGTTCCTCTATATAGATGTCTGGGTCGACATTGCCACCGAGCGGCCCGATACATCAAGAAGTGTCAGGGTGGAAATCAGAAAGGGAGGCGGGCGGTGTGCCTAGCATCAGTGGGGAATAAGGTAAAAGGGAGGGGAACTGAGACCCCGGTCACCGCATTAGGCGGGCCCCCGGGACGGTCGAGACTGTACCCCGTCTTACCAGGGCCACTGGAGGACCATTTAGATCCTGTGAATGCACCCCCGCCTTATCCCTGGAAGGAGGAGCCTGATTCTTCCTTGCAGGAGATAGGTGGATTTTCCAGCCCGCCACATACGTGAGGGGGAACTCGCTATGGAGTGGCCGTGGGAGGTGCCGCCATCTTGCCACTCCGGGAAGCGCCCCTGGCACCGGATGCGCCGCCGCAGGCACCCCCACGGTTAATCTATGTTCCCTTTTCCACTAGTGATTTGTATAATTGGAAGCACCAGAATCCCCCGTTTTCTGAGAAACCCCAGAGATTGATTTCCCTCCTAGAAACCATTTTTAGGACTCACCAGCCAACTTGGGATGATTGTCAGCAGATTTTGCAGACTCTCTTTATATCAGAGGAAAGAGACCGTATTATAAGGGAGGCAGCAAAATCTGTATTAGGAGAGGACGGGGAGACAATAGCTGGTAGAAGTGAGATCGAGGACATCCTCCCCTCTCAACCCCCTGCTTGGGACCCTAATACTACTGGGGGAAGGGACGCGCTCCTCCAGTACTGCCCGGTTCTGTTAAGGGGATTAAAGGCAGCAGCAAGGAAGCCTACCAATTTTAGCAAAGTCAGTTAATGGCTCAGAGAAAAGAAAATTTACATATGAAAGATAGAAGGTCAGAGGAGAGGGGCCAAGAAGATCTAGGTATTAAGACTGCTGCAGGCTGGTCAGAGTTCCTGCAGCCCCAGCCGATCCACACCTGTGAGTGAAATGGGAAAAGTGCGCCTGAACTGGCATCGCTATCTTGAATCGGTCAAGAAACCAGATTCAGTGGAGGAAAAACCCCTACTGGGGCAGGGCAATATCCTTTTGGGAGAATTTTTTAGTGAGAGTAAGGCCAGAAGGCCAGTCTGCTAGATGTTATCTGGCACATACTCTGTTTTGTACATTGAATCTGTTAAACTGGAAAAACTCAAACCCTTCTTACGGACATAACCCTGCTAAAATGACTGATTTGATTGTGTCAGTTTTTTTGCCACTTATCTTCTCAATTGGGCAGACATAGGAGCCTTATTGAATTCTTTGCTTCAGTAAGGGGGGATGAGCAGAGGCTGGTGTTGGATAAGGCAAATGAAAAGGCTTGGAGATTAAACCAAGAAAATCCAAATGGGGCTCTGGGCCTTCCCAGGGCAATACCTATAACTGAGCCTAACTGGGACCCTTAAGGGGATGGCCTTTCTCTCTTAGAGCATTATAATGCATCCCTAAACAGAAAGTCTAAGTACTGAGTTTAAGTATAATCCTTCCCAGTGTGGGAAAGGAACCAGGATTAAAAAAAAAAAGATTAATGGTTAAATCTGAATGTGTAAAAATTATGTGTAAAGAATGTGAAAGTTTTAAACCTGGAGTAAAGGAAACCTGAATTGTTTTCTGGTTTTGCAGGAAACGAGCAAGATTTCTAACATTGGTGTTGTTTCTAATCAGAAACCTTCTGTACTTTAAGACCTAGGAAAGGTTGCCTGTAACCTGTTGGGGAGGATGCCTTTGCCACTCGGGACCCAGGCAGGGTCATTTGGGGCTGATAAGTGCTTCAGCCATGGGCAAAGCAGCATGTCTCTGCCAAAAGACCGGGCCTGAAGAAGCATGTCTCTGTGCAAGAGAATGCCCCTACCTGTGTACTGTTCTGGAAACTCTGTGTTTTGGATTTTGCTCTGTATCTGCTCTAAAAAAGAAATTAAAAATTCCAGGGAAGGTTAAAACTTCACACTCTATAGGAAAGTAAATAGGAAAGTGAAAGATACGTAAATGAAAAAGGTGTATAAAAGAAAGAATAAAAGGTTTGTAAATGTTAAAAAGGTCCGTGAAAAACTGTAAAGATAAATGGAAAAGTGAGTTTTAGAAAAAAATTTATGTGGTATGTGTTAGTAATGAAAGGTGTAAGGCATAAAGATACAATCTTGGTGAATATCAGAAGCTGTATAAAATAAAGGGTTGTGAATGTTGCAGAAGGTCTGTGGAAGTGAAGGTTTTGAGAAGCCTGGTGGATATCAGGAGGGAAAGGATTTTCCTTCACGCTTTGTATTTTTCTCCCTACCTGATCCCTCCAGAATTTGGCATTCTGAAGGAGTGAGTGATAATATAAGGTTTCTTTGCATAAAACCAATAAGACCGGTCGTTAATAGTGGTTTTGTTAGCTGAAACTTTGACTGGAATGTCACGCCTGAAGGAGGCATGTATGGGTTCTGGTCGTCACCAGAAAGCCCTGAGGAACTGGGATTGACTTGTGAAGCTAGCATAAGCCCACGAAAAAGCCTGGTACTTTGGTTGGCTGTGTGGTTCATGGCAGTCTTTCCAGGGAAGGAACGCGGTTGCTTTCATGAAAGATGGCCAAAAAGGAACCTGTAAGCACAATTGAAGCATCAAGGATTTGAGTGAAACAACTGGTACAGGTGAAGCCAGATGGCAAATGTGTGACTCTGCTTCTGTGCTCCACGGGGGTGGACTGAGAAGTCAATCTAAAGGCTCCCTGTGTGAGTTCCAGCAAGGTAGACTCAAGGATCATAAGTGATCCAGGCTGCTCTTGGTGTGTTTATGCAAACAAACAGTCAAAATTAAAAGCGGGACTCAAAGTAATCCCCGTAATAAGTGAGGGTGATCTTAAGGAGAAAAATTGTGGTTCAAGGAAAATCACAATGCTTAGTATTGGACATCAAAATGGTGCAGCTAACTGTCTTAAAAGTTTGTTTTCATTTGAAAGTTGAAAACTGGGTTTGTAATATCACCGAAGATGTAC